CATGCCGGGATAAGCTGTAATGTCTGTCTGATTGTTCAGGCCCGAGGGCCGGCGGTTCATTATTTGATGGAAGTGAGGAATGATTCGGCTCCGCAGCTGCAGGGAAGGGAGCTACCCTCCACTCTTCCGTCTGAAACAGGGACCGTGCCCACTTCGGTGCCACCCACAGCATCCCATTCTCACCACGGAGCCCCTTGGAGGGCAGGTCAGGCACCACACCACCACTCGGGGGTATCTCCCTCAGCTGTGCCCAGAGCCAAACCTCCTCCCTGCGGAGAAGCCAGAGCAGCCATCAGGGGGCGTCAGCTGGACTTAAGGTGGCCGTGTCGCTGGCCTCCCAGTACAGGCCTTCGGACGGTGAGCCAGGGCACAGTTTACAACGGGGCTGGAGCGGCTCCTGTGCCCAGGCCTGTCGGGGGGCCACCGGCTGCCTCCTGCTCCCTGCCCTCCACCGGGGGAGGCTTACTCCCACTCCCCCACCGTGTCTGGCTCTAAGATGTCTCAGTAGAAAGCTTCAGCCTAGCGGTGCTCTCTGCACAAGTCACCCAGGAGAGAGGGAACCGCTGGTTTTTGCACCAGGTGTCAAGGGCTGGACCTTCTTTTTTTTTTTTTTAAGGTTCCTGCGAAGGCGCATTTGACACTGCCTTTGACTGGATTCGCAGGGAGAGAAACCACCACGGAGAGGTGACGGTGAGGTTCAGCACCTACTTCTTCCGCCGCAGCTGGTACTGGCTTTACGAAAACCGGAACAACCGGACCCGCTACGGGGACCCCATCCCCATCCTCGCGGGCTGGCACGGACTCCCGGCGCAAGACATAGACGCTTTCGTCCACGTCTGGACGTGGGGAAGGGACGAGCGTTACTTTTTCAAAGGTAGAGGCCCTCGCGCGGCCCCGTTTCTCTTACTAAACAAATGCCGTCAGAACAAAGGCCGTGGGCCCTCACCGAGGACGCTTCTGTGACGCTCTGGGAAGTACTTCCTTTCCGCCTGTCCCATCAGACAGTGCGCGGGGGGTGTGCGGGGTCCCCATCCTTTCACCCGGGCGCAGAGTGCCCCGGATGCGCATGCGTGAGCGAACGCTGCGCGGGCTCTGAGGGGCTGCCGAACAGCTGTCCGAAAGGGCCCCCCCCCCCCAATTCGGAAGTTCCCATCTGACCCTGCAGAGAGAACCACCTTAGAAGCCCACGAGAGGCACAGTCCGTCTGAAGGGGCGCAATAAGCAGAGCTGGCCACTGTCGCCCCAGAATAGGGTGCTGGAGCCACCCAGGAGTCAGGGCTTGGCCCAGACTGGACAGATGGGGGGGACCTGAGTAGTGTGTGTGTGGGGAGGCAGGGGGCGGGGGAGGCGGTGGGGGTCAGGCTCACAGCCCTAGACCTGGCGGTGGCAGGGCCCTCGTGCGGCGGGATTAGGCTGGAAGGACAGGGTTAGCCCCGCCACAGGGAAGCCGGAACACCAGGCCCAGGACCAGGCATCAGCCAGCAGGCGGCGACCGGGGCACAGCAGCAGTTCCTGGGCGCGGAGGTCTGAGTCCTGCAGGAGGCAGCTGCGGAGGTGGGGCCTGCAGGGCTTGGTGAGCACCCCAGCGGCCAGGCCAGCGGGCCGCCTTTGCGAACCAGACCCAGGGAGTCGCATCATGAACATGGCCTTGTGGTTGCTTTTTCTTCCCCTCGCTGCCCCGCTTCCTGGCAATGCAACCACACTGCTTCGGAGTCCGAAGGTTAGGTGGCTGGGGGAGAGCCGACGAGGCCACAGCCAGCCCGGAAGGACTTGGCCAGCAGATTCTGCCATGAGAAATCTGGGAGTAAATTTAGTCTTAGTTTTCCTTCACATCGCACAGGGAATTCCTTTAGTTCAGTCGCACAAAGAAATCTGTCAAGTAGGCTTTTGTCGTTTGGGTATTTCAGAGTCAGGAAGACATTTTCCCAAGGTTTAAGAAGTGCTGAACTGAGCCCTGGCTGGCGTAGCTCAGTGGATTGAGCGCGGGCTGCGAACCAAAGTGTCGCAGGTTTGATTCCCAGCCAGGGCACATGCCCGGGTTGCAGGCCATGACCCCCAGCAACTGCACATTGATGTTTCTCTATCTCCCTCCCTTCCCTCTCTAAAAATAAATAAAATCTTAAAAAAAAAAAAAAGGGAAGAAGTGCTGAACTGCAGCGGGTGTTGGCGACCCCCGGACCACCGCTGGGGCCCAACAAGAAGTGACTCAGGACCTGAAACAAGCGGCCCTGGGGAGGGGGCGGGTCGGAGGCAGGTGCAACTTAGATGCGTTGCCGCCAGTCCGGCTGTCCCCCCGCAGGGCGTCAGGACCTCCTGGCACACTGGGGCCCATGTGGGAAGCCAGCTGGGTTGCCATTCCTGATTTACCTGTAATAAGCCGCGGTGGCGTTTTTTGTTTTTTGTTTTTTTTGTTTGGCTCTCAGGGACGCAATACTGGAGATACGACAGCGACAGGGACCAGGCCCACACGGAGGACGAGCAAGGAAAAGCCTACCCCAGGTTGATTTCGGAAGGGTTTCCGGGCGTCCCTAGTCCGCTGGACACCGCCTTCTACGACCGGAGGAAGCAGCTGATTTACTTCTTCAGGGGGTCCCTCGTAAGTGGGGCTTTGCCGCCTGGTGCGGCCGTGTCCGCCCTAACTGACCTTTTTCCCAGGCGGCCAAGTGCTCGGCTGAGAGCTGAGCGGTCGCCTCGGGCCGGTCCGGCCGCGGCAGATGTCCCATCACGGGGGACCTGGTCCAGAACGTGCAGCCCGAGGCCCTTGGGGCGGAGACACAGGTTGGCCCGCCTCACTGCTCCGAATCGGTGGTCTTCGGAAAGGCCAGTCCTGCTCCCTCGATCCGCAGGTGTTCGCGTTCGACGTGAACAGGAACCGCGTCCTCGGGTCCTACCCGAAGCAGATGGCTGACGCCTTCCCGGCGGTGGAGCCGCGCGACCACCCGCTCCGGGACCTGGACGCGGCGTACTACTCCTACGCGCACAAGGCGGTCTTCCTGCTCAAGGGCAGCGCCTACTGGCGAGTGGCGGGCGACGGCGACCGGCCGCGGGGGCGGCGCGCGGGGCTCCCGCCCAATGGCGTGTTCCCCCGGCAGCGCGTCTCCCGGAAGTGGTTTGACGTGTGCGACGTGCACGCCTCCACGCTGGACATGTCGTGAGCGGTGAGTGGCGCGGGCGGGCGCAGGGAGCCGGCGGGGTTCTCTTCCGAGACACGAAGTCAGATTTCTTTCACCAAGAAAACCCACCCGACTTCCGGTAACCGAGGTGAACAGGGCTCGCTAAGTTAGAACCACGGGAGAAAGTATTAATTGGACCTTTAAAATACTTGATCTAAAAATCAATTAGGCAAAAAATAATTTTACCGATTTTACCAAATTTGCTTAGAAAAGGTTAAAGGAAGTGCTCAGGAATCTTCCTTTGCCGCGGTCGCTAGGGCGCTGCAGCCCCGCCCCCGACACGCCTGCCCGCCACCCCCCCACGGACGTCCGTCCGGAGGAGATGGGAAGACGCCACTCCCTTAAGGGTCCTGCCCAGGGACCCTTAGGTCGGACGCAGTGGTGGCCCTTGACCCCCCTTTCCTCACTCGGGCCTGGTGCCCCGACACTGTCCGTTCCTTGGGGCTCTCTTCGCTTGAACACAGGCCTGCGTCCCACGTGGTCCCGGACAGCTTCCTAGCCCCGCCCCTTCCCAATGGAACTCTGTACGCAGAGGTTTGCTTATGTCCCGAGGGCTAACTGGGTGTTTCCCTGTATCAGCTACCTCTAAGGCAGGCACCACGTCCCTTTGAGGTCCCATAATGTAGCTCCTTAATACGAACAAACCCCGACGTCCGTATGTGACGACGGGGACAGAACTCGGGCGCTGACACCGACTGGGAAAGACTCAGCTGTCCCACTGATGGGGCCCAAACACCACGCCGCCTTTGGAGGAACAGCTGGGACACCGCATTTGTAAGCTTATTTAAATCAAAATCGGCAAATTACACACACTTTAAAAGCCTCCCCACCGCCCTGTGACAGTTCCACACTGCTGCTGTGACAAGGGAGGACAGCTAGGATCTGCATCTTCCCGTTTAGAAACAAATCCTCCTCCGACTGCAAGGCTGTTGGGCTGCGCAGAGGCTTCCGTCCCCACCTCCAGCCTCCTCCTGCGGATGCGGAGCCGGTTCTGAAACTCTTCCTCCAAACGAGAGGTAGAGGCGGCCTCCCCGTGAGCAGGTCTGACCAGCTCAGCGGCGACCCGGACCGAGCGCTGGCCCAGGGGACAGAGTGACAGCTGACCCAACAAGAGGCACTGCTGATTTCGCACAGCTGCTTTCCGGTGTAGTCAGAACTTGACGTGCTTCCCCGTGCAGTTTCTGAGAATGGATGCAAATCTGTCCCAAGGACAATGCAAACCGACAAGGGCATGGACACAGGGCGAGAGAGCCCTGCCAGCTCTGCCAGAGGTCAGCTCACCGTCAAGGGGAACACCTGAAAATCTCAGCGCACGAGAAAGCAGTGTGTAAAAATGCACCTTCAAAGGAGCCTATTCCGCACCCTTCCCGAGCACAGCCCAGCGCCCTTCACAGCAGTGCGGCTGGAGGGGCTGCCAGGCGGGGGCAGAGCTGCAGGGATGACGACCCAGACGGCGCTGCAGGGTGTGCTGGCGCACCACGGTGTCCGACGACCCAGGTGGCGCTGCAGGGCGTGCTCTCGTGCGCCACGGCGTCATGCACAGAAACCCAGCTGTCTGTCGCCTGACAGGGCAAGCACCGCACTGCCCACCGGGGCCCGGGGAAACGCCAACGCAGCACGTCTGTGCCCCGGACACAGCCGCGTGCCAAGTACTACGTATGATATCCTAGTGAGGATCCAGTGCGTGGCAGATTTTATTTGTATTGTTTTAATCTTGACTTTGTAAAATTAATTAAACGAGTTCACATCAAAACTGAATGTGAAGAATGCGAAACAGAAAAAGACAGGTATTTTAAATAAATAATTTATTTACTCAAAATAGTCTTCTTACCTTATTCACAGTTTCAAGTTTAAAATAAAAGAGGAGGGCAGTGTCTGCCCCTGACCAGCTCCCACACGAGCGAGGTCCAAGCACACGGGCCCCCCCCGCACATGCACCGACAGACGACCGCGAGGCGGCTGGCGTTCCGACACCCCGGCCTGACGCTCGGAAGGGCCGGCCTCTTCCTCCTGCGCCGCCCGGAAGGAAGCGCCGTAGGTTTAACCCACCTGAACCACCAGAGTCACCTGGATGGGAAAGTCCCCTTGACCCACAGTAACGTTTACCCAAAACAACTGTGTCTCACACCCACGTAGCTCGAACACACTCCAGAGCACTCAGAAGTGTGGCCGCATCCCAGCAAGGCTGCTGACGCCGAGCTCCACTCTCTCCTCGGAGGAGGCGGCACCGGACGCTGGTCCCACACCGTCCGTGAGGAAGCCCGAGCCGCCGGCCCGCCGGCCTCGCCGTGGGTGACGAGCACGCCGCGTTCCCGCAGCGGTGCCTGCTGGGAGTGGCATTTCCTGTGCGTTTAATTGAACGAAGCACCGAGGGGCGGGGGTGCCCGAGTGCGGAAGGCACGGGCCGCACCTGCGCGGACGCGGCCCCGGGAGTCACTGGACGGCGCCGCCCCCCGCGAGCTGGCCCAGCAGGTGCAGGAGGATGTCGACCCTCTCCAAGAGACTCGTGTCCCGGTTAGCGGTAGCCCTCAGCAGCTGCGAGTAGACGTGCTTGTTGGTCCTGAGGGCCGCGTCCCCCTCCGAGTCACTGCTGGGTGAAAACAGGGCGGAACGGGAAAGGAGGCCGTGAAGAGCGGCACCCACCGCCTGCCCAGGGAGAGCCCCCGCAGGGCGGGCCGGCCGCCCTCCCCCGCCCCCTCCCCCGCCCCCGCCCCCGCCCCCGCAGGGGGGCCGGCGCTCCGTGAGGGCCCGCTCCACACTCCTCGTTGAGCCGCTGCTGGGGGCCCGTCTCTGGACATTCATGTCTGCACACCGATCAGAGCCAACGCTCGTGCCTTTCACGGACACCTGGGTGCCGCGTGTGTGCGAGCAGGGCAGACGGAAGTCCCGCCTTCACGCCGTCATCTGTGTTCTACCTGGGGGGCCGGGGGGCGGGCAGGTGGGGCGGACACGCAGTCAACCGGAAGAGAAGCGCATCAGGTGCGACACGCTACCAGGAAAATGCCGTGGAGACAGGCGGGGCGAGGGGAGCTCCCAGCACCTCCGCCAGCCCCCACCCAGCCTGAGGGTCCCCGGCTGGGTTAGCCAGCACGGGTCTGAGTGACTGTGGGGCTGCTTTCACCGGCGCGAGAATTAGCGTGGACCCGAGGCCCAGACTCCTGACTCACAGAACTACTGCCCCCCAGCGTATGTGAAGTGTCAGGGCGCCGGGCACGTGAGGCAGGCCCTCGGGTGCTGTTCTGCACTGAGCCGTGCGCACAGGAGGCCCGGGGCTTCCCCCGGGGCCGAGGCAGGAGCACCACCTCTCCTTTCCCCGCGTCAGCGCGGACCACCTGTGCGCCTTCCGCGGGCCAGGTGCGGGGGAAGAACTCCCGCCACCAGCAGTGGGACTCACCTTGTCTTCTTCTTGCCCGGAGACAGCAGCCGGATGGACTGAAGGAGCAGGAAGGACAGCCGGGACTCGAATATGCTGAGCAGTTTGAGCGCTTCTTCTCGGTTCAGACCGGGAGCCGCGTCAGCCGCGGGGGAGGGCCCGTCGCTCTTGGGCTGGAACGACGAGAAGTCCGCTCAACCCAGGCTCCCAGCAACCGCAGCTCACAGTCACGAGGCGGGCCGGGCCTCATCAACCCGGCAAGCCGGACCAGAGCCCACAGCCAGCAAACCGAGACCTCTTGTCAGGGACAGCCCTGCTGGCGGCGGCGGCGGTGGCAGTGACCAGGCCACCTCCCCCCCGCTCCCCAGAGCACTGTAATAAACTAGAATACAACAGGAGGCCGTCTCACACCCCACAGGTCTCAGCCAGGGCGGCAGCAGCAGCAGCACGAGGGCTGGGGCGCCGGCAGGCTGGGGAGGCCTCCCAGGGGCCTGCCGCGCCCGCACGCCCAGCAGTTGGGTGCAGAACACAAGAGGGTGCAGGCCTTTTCTCAACAGAGTACACACACCGAAGCAACACCTAACAGGGGCGGTACTCCAGGGCCCCGCTAACCAAGGTCTACGCAGTCGTTTTAAAATGTAAGACACACTTGTAGCCCCGGCCACGTGGCTCAGTTGGTTGGAGCGTCACCCAGCAAAGCCAAAGGTTGCAGGTTTGATTCCTGGTCAGGACACAGGCCTGGGTTGCGGGTTTGGTCCCAAGTTGGGGAATGTACAAGAAGCAACTGATCGATGGTTCTCACATCCATGTTTCTCTCTTTCTCTGTCCCTTCCCCTTTCTAAAATCAATAAGCATGTCCTCAGGTGAGGATTCAACAAAAAGATACACTTGCAAATGAAAGCGTGCCCGTGCACACACCGCCCCCGCCCCCCACGCTCACTGTGCACCCTCACCCCTTGGAGGAACCGGCCCCCACTCACCTGGCCCGACTCCTCCACAAGCTCCTTCCGCATGAGCTGGAACGCGTGGGTCGTCCTCACCATGATGTCCAGGGCCCCGGACAGCGTTTTCAGCTTCCCCACGTTGCTGCTCTGACCTGGGGTTAAACACAAACGGTCGTCCCTGTGAGCACAGACCTAGAGGCCCACGCGATGTCAACGTTTGTTGGTGAAATGCCTGCCTTCCAGATGCGCGTACAGGACGTTCAAGCGAAGACCCACACACTTGCAAACCCGACTCTTCCTCGGTAATTATCCCTCGAGGGAAGCAGGGAGTCTGGGCCCAGCCGCAGAGAATGACTGTCCGGCCGCGCCACCTGGCTCTGCCCGGTGAGAGCACTGCTGCGCGGAGCAGGAGCCAGCCCCCGAATGCCAGGCGTGGGGCCCGTGGAGGAGGGGGGGTGTGCGGGATGAAGGCCACCCGCTGTGGACCGGCTCCATGGCGCGGCCAAGTCCCTGGGGCGCTGAGTGCCCCCGTGCTCCCGGGAGGGCAGGCACACCCGCTTCCCGTGCAAAGCGGCCGGCCGGCCCGCTGAGCCCAGACTGGTTCACACGGGGACCAGAGCGACCTGCCCTTCAGCTGCCAGACGCTGTAGAGCACCTCCGCCCCGCCGCAGGAGCCTGAGTTCCGTCGTGTGCGGGGACGCGTCGCAGGGAGTTAACCGTGTCCCGACAGACCTGGCCCCGGCCTTCGGCTCCCAACAGGTCGGGACGCCCTTGGGCGCCCTGTCTGATAAGGGGTCCGTGTAGACCTGGGGCACCCCGGGCCACTCCGAGCAGCCTCATAACTGCTGCCCTGTGGAGGCTCTGGCCCCGCGACCCCCAGAGGGCCCGGAGTACATACAGGTCAGCCGAGTGGCAGTCAACCACGCGTGCTGGTGCCCCAGTAAAAGCCTGGACCTCGAGGCACAGGTGAACTGCCCCGCGGGAAACGCTCTGTGCACAGGGTCACACTTCGCTGCTGGGGACACTGAGCACCATCCGTGCCTCCACGGGGGCGAGGGGGACAACCAGAAACTTCTCGAGAGGCCGAGGGCTCAGAACTCCCCCGGACACTGGCCCTTGTGCCTCCTGCCCGGCCGACGGGGCCCCTTCTCCATCACAGACGGTGGCCGCGAGGGCACCAGCGTCGGTGAGCTCTGTGAGCCCTCCCGGGGAAATGTCGCCTGAGGGGGTCTTTGAGACCCCCCGAGTCACAGCTGGTGTGCAGTGGTCCTGGGGACCCACGACTCTGTAAATACAGCCAGTAACTTCACAGCACAAGCACCCTGCTGTCTCGGTATCCGGAAGGCTGGCAGGTGACTGCACGTGGGAATGCTCCTGGGGGCAGAGGGCAGGCGGTAACTCCACGCAGAAACCAAAGTGTGTGTGTGGGGGGATCCTCCGCACTACAGAAAAACTACGGGGGGAGTGAGAGAGAACGGGGAGGGCGTGCTGAACTGCAGCATCCAGTACCTGGCTAGCAGCCCGCTCCCCCAGATGTTTACATTACTTTCCTCAGGTACTCAGGGTATGGAACGATTTTTTTTAAAAGGGAATTAACCATACTTACCATCTTAACAAATTTGTTCCCAGTATCTATTCTTTTTTATAAGAATGATGCTTGCTCATTTTAAGAAATTCAAACATGCAGAAAATTCAAAGATGGAAATGCAAAAAGACCACTGGAAACCTGCCCCCAGAAACAGCGACGCCCACGCCCAGCCAGGCATTATACACTGGCCAGAAGTCACCAAAACTGCTCTCAGTGAAAAGCATGTTTAGAAACCGTCTGAACAGGCAATCCAGCTCATGACGCACAAAGGCCAGACCGGCACCCAGTGGGCGGGGCCTCCTCTCGGCTCCGGCCCCCCAGGGGCAGCAAAGCCATCACCGGTTTCCCGGCCTCTGTCCAGGGCCACTGCGCAGTCCTGGGCGGGCCAAGCACCTCCCTTATGTAATGTCACAGGAGAAGACAGCTGAGGGGAACACAAGTGAACGGCTGTCACTGTGAACAGCTGTTTCTGGCTTCCGTACACACGGGTGGTTCTCCAGACAGACCCCCGTGTGGACGGAGCTGGCGAGGCAGAGCGCGGAGACGTAGTAGGGACGAGCACTCTGTGCTGCAAGGCCGCCTCCCCGCCGGGCGACCGCCCCGCGAAGGCTCTGCGCTGTCTCTCACTGCCCCCCTGCCAGCAATCTGACCTTGGTCAGCATCTGCAGGTGCGTTCTGCTCTGGAGCCACTGCCCACAGCACCCACAGCACCCACAGCACCGGGTGAGCGTGGGCAGGGGCTCCAGGGGACCACCTCCCCTCCCCAACTGCTCTTCCGTCCCCGAGTTGTCCGCCGAGACTTACGTCTTTGTCTACGCTGGCTTGTCACAATTTTTTTTTTCCAAGGAAGGACTCATGGACTACACTTAAACATTGCTAGTCATCCAACATAACCTAACCCATTTCTCTGAGTTTTAAACAGCACTTCAGAAAGTGGAGAGACTCCTGGTCTCTACCCAAAGGCACTGGGGGAAAAAACCACCAAACCCCAAAAACGACACTCCTCGCACCCCGGAGGACCGCAGCCCGCCCGACTCGGAGGCGGTCCGCACCGGGGAACAGGCACTCACCGGCCATCTGGAACTCCGCGAACGCCACCCGCTCCAGCTGCACCCTCAGCAGCTCGCACGGCGTGTCCTTCAGGAGCTGGAAGAGCGTCACGGCTTTGCTGTAGTGGAGGTCGGCCAGCACCCGGTGCTGCTTCCTGAGATGCTCGTCGCCCACCTGGCACCAACGGAACACAAGGCAAACCCGGAGGCGTGGGTGTCACAGGAGCTACGCACCCGAGCCTCCGCCAGGGTCACCAAGAGCCCGGGTCACCGAGTGCCCGGGTGAGTGCCGTCTTTCTCTAGGTCCCGCAGTCTCAGCTCCTACATCCGGGTCTTTAATCCACTCTCAGGGGACGCGCTATGTGATGGGAGGCGGGAGTCCCACTCCCCTCTGCGCGCGGACACCCCTCCGTCTCAGCACTACCTGCTGAGGGACAACTCTTCCCAACTGAACTGTCTCGGACCTCTTAGGCCTGCTTCTGCCTGAGGGTATTGGGCCATCTGGGCAAACCTGAGTGTTGGCTGGGGGCCTCCTAGGGGCAGAGAGAGAGTGTCGAGGGCCAGCACCAAGTGGAAGGAAATCCTGTCTGATGAAGCTCAACCTCAAAAGGCAATAATCTCACGATGGGGCAACGCAGAAGTAAACCCTTGCCCCAGCTGAGCGCAAGCTGAGCTGTCTTGCTTGGTACTGTGCTAAGAAAGGGAAATCGGCAAAACAAAAGCCATCCCTGAAAAGCCGTGAGCACAAGCCTCCTGGCAGAAGCAAGGCCCCCCTGGAAGGGAGGGAGGGAGGGAGGCAGGCAGGGAGGGCAGCACCTTCAAGCTGGGCCTCGAGTTATTCTTAGAAATACACGCGTCTGAGTGCCAGGATGCACGTACAAGACTCTTTGCGGTTGATTACTTCTAATTGGCTCAAACTAAGACAACCTAGAAGTTCAGGAATCACTGAATGGATAAAGCTGTGATATAATCATTTCCTGAGTATACTGAGAAACTGAACAGCTACATGCACCGACCTGCAAGAATCTCAAAAACATGGTATTAAGTGAAAGGCATTTAAGCCACAGAAGAGTATGTTGAGTACGATTCATTCTATAAAGTTCACGAGCAGGTGAAATGCGAACATACTGTCTAAGTGATAAAACACAGACAAGGTGTGGACGTAACAGAAAATCCGGGACAGTGGTCGCTCTGGGTGGGTCCGGAGGGAGGGAGGGCCCACGGGGGAGCCCCACGGTGCCCCTGCGTTGCTCAACCTTGGGGCGAGGCGTGCAGGGCTTCTCCTCTGGCACGCTTCAACCTGTACATGTGTTTCCTCCACACTTTCTACATGCTCTTACATGCATGTCCTAGTTCACAACAAAAGTTTTAACAGATAGATGCTTCAAGATTTACATACAACTGTCCTTATAAAACCTAACTATACTTTAAAAAAAGCAAAATACACCCGGGCAAATGTATAATTTTGCAAACGAACTCCCAGTCAGTTATAGTAGACACACAAACATACGGCACGAGGAAAGACAGGGACGACGCCCACACTCCACAAGTTTCCCTAAGCAGCCCACGGAGGAGCAGGCATTTGAAACGGACACCGAAGTGCCAGAGAAGCACCAGAGCGCTTTCGAGGGGACCGGCCGCACCTGGTTCCGCAGGCAACTGTGGTACATGGACGCCAGCCGGTGGTGGATGGTGGCCGCTCGGTACTGGCGCAGGGGCTGCCGGGCCGACGCCGAGTCCGCGTCGCAGTGTCCCAGGGACTTCATCATGGCCTCACTGACTTCTCTTTCAATCTGTCTCGTTTTTAGGAGGGGGGGCAAAAAGAAGAGAGAGAAGCCTGTAAGTTGACGAGAACCTGCACGGCCGGCCGAAGCCCCCCTTTACGACCCGGCACGCGCCGGCACCTGCTCCTGAGCCTTCCGGGACAGCGGCGCGTAGTCCTGCTGCAGCGTGGCCATGGTGAAGTAGGTGGTGGACAGCTCCCAGTTCACGGAGTCCCAGACGGCCGGGTGCGCGTCCCGCGTCCCCAGGGACCGCAGGGCTTTCAGGTAGTAATCAACAGCCTGTGCGGGAGAGGGGGCAGAAGCGTGGGCACATGCCTGCCACGTCCCCCAGAGGAGGACCTGACGGGGGTGGCGGGGGGGGGCGTTCGTAACAGGACCGCATCAGGAGGAAGGAAAACAGTCCGTCAGCCCGACCGTTTCGGCGACTGGGCGACGAGAGGAGAGTTAGGGCAACCCACGTTCCCGCCCCTGGCCTGCAGGGAGGGGCCGGGAGGGGCTGGAGGGGCCGGGAGCCGCAGCACTTCCTGCCTCATGCTCCTGCGTGAGGACGCACTGCCTCCCCCTCTTTTCTTTCTTAATGAAAACCACAGCCCACGTAACAAGTACACTAAAAAAAAAAAATGGTCGCTGAGTCTAAGGAGAAAGAATTTGCCAGATGAGACTGGAGAAACAAGCAGCTCCTCCCGCCCTCTGCCGCCACCACCCCAAAACAGGCGGCCCCCACCCCTCACTCCAGCAGACCGAGCCCCACGGGCTCCTGTCGCCCAGCGGGAACGCCCTCGTTTCCCGCACGCATTCACCCACCCCTCCCCCGTGGAAGTGCAGACTGACTGCAACGGGCCTTTCACTCTACAGTCTGCCGCGCCGTGGCCGTTCTTCTTCACTGCATCACTGATTGTTCGGGTTCCGTTCCTCATGTAACCCAGAGAGTCCTGAGGCACGGTTTCCCGCCCTCGGAGAGCAGAGCCTTCCCCGGAAACCGTTCTCGGCCGCAGTAGCAGGAGCAAAGCACTGACCATTGATAAAGTTCTCTGAGTGTTCCCGGGTCCGCAGCGGAGCGCACACATTTTTATTCCATCCACTGCGATCAAAACGCTCAATCGCGTCCAGTTTTACGTGAAGCCTCGCGCTCCTGCGAGCTCTCTGAGGCCTCTCCGGCGCTTCGGGCCCATCCCGCTGGCAGAGCCCGGAGGCGAGGGGACGAAGCCTGGGTGCCTGGACACGGCTCGCAGCTCTGGGGCTCGACGCCCGGAGGCCGCGCCAGCCTCCGGGGTGGGAGCCTGGCGGAGTTTTGTTTTCCACCTTCTTTGTAAAAGCAACCCCCCCCCCAGATTTCAGTTAGTGAAAACAGGTACTGACGTGGGCCTTTTACAAAAGACAGCTTTCAAAACACGGACACCCGTGCTCGATGACATGCATGTTTATTCTCACGCACCCTCTCCAACACTGAATGCTACCGCCTGCCAAAAAACATTTGCTAATTTCACAAGTAAAAAACTTAATTTTTAAATTCCATAAAAGTTTAAATTTTGGTATCTTTCTCACATGTTAACCGTCTACTGTTATTATTACATATATGAAATTTTTGTTCAAGATTATGTGCCCTTCCTTCTCCCAGGACAGTTTATTTTCACAGGTGCCTAACTGTCATGTCCCAAGGGCACTGACCTCTGACCTGTCCCATGCGCTACAAAGGTGTTCACCACCCCGTGGTGCGCTGTTCAATCCTGCTTCTGCTGTGCACGTGAAACACTCTGTCTGGGCACATCTACTCTGCCCGCCTTCTGCCTCACGATCTCTGCCTGTGCCAGGCTGGGAGGCTCCTGCGAACCCCTGAGACACCCTCCTTCCCTCGTTTCCTCCGGTGTTCTGTTCCACCTGCCGTGCGGATCACCTGCCGTGCGGGTCTGTGACCCACCTGACCTCCCCCCGGTCAGCCAACGCACCGTGCTGCGCCGTCACGGCTCAGCCTGCCAGTCACAGTCCTCCCCACCCCTGACCTCTCAGCGCGCCGGGCCCACGGCCGCGTGAGCGGACGACCCGCGCAGTCCTGGGCCGGCACCGGTTTCCCCTCTCCCGGTTCTGTCCTCCCTCAGTGCAGCGAGGGCAAACGACAATGAGGCACGAACGGGGGAGGTCCCACCCGTAGGCAAACACGTTACCTTATTGTAATACAGGCCTTCCTCGGGTGAGAATTCACGCTTGAACTCGTCCCCTGCGCCGCAGTGCGCCTGCGCGCAGATCCGCATGAGCCTTCCCGTGTTGCACAGCAAAAGGGCGGCATTTGTGGCATCGCCTATCGACTCAAAGTTGTGAATTCCTTTTTCAAAACAAGAGAAGCTTTTTTTCCACAATTGCTGCTCTGCAGTAGACACGCTTTTGCTCACTTTATTTAAAAAAAAGAAAAAAAAGACAGTGTAAGCAGACATCCACGTACACCCCGCCGGCGTCCCTCGATGCGATCACGAGAGACAGTGCCCCCTACCCCCGATTCACGAGGAGGCCCTCACCCTGAACGTGGCCGTCTCTGGAGACGGGCCCTCTGAAGAGGTAGGTAAAGTGAAATGAGGTCACACCGCGGGGCCTAAACCCAACAGGACCGGAGCTCTTGTGAGGGACACACACCGGGACACCCGCAGAGGAAAGACACAGCGAGAGCCGGCCGCAGCGAGAGCCAAGCAGAGAGGCCTCCGAGGAACCCGGCCCTGCTGGCCCCCGGAGCTCCCTCCCGAGCGCGTGCGGGACACAGACTCCCGTGGTCTCGGCCCCCGGCCTGTGGTTTTGAGTTACTGCAGACGGACACACCCTCAGACACGCTCGTCTGCACTGACTGGCACTGACGGACGGAGGCCACGGCAAGCAAGAGCATCTGCGCGAAGCAGTGCCGCGTAAGGACTCGGAAGACAGCCCCGGGAGGGTAAGAGGCGGTCTGGTTTCTCTAGTTCCCCTGGTCTCCGACTACCGCTGTTCCCACTCCTCCACCCACCTCCTCCCCCAGAGGCACTCTGAAAGCACAGGTTCCTTCTTACACCTTCCTCTTCCTACACACACACAAAACCATTTACGACAGTATATATGACTGCGTATACGTGTGTAAAAAACAACTACTGTGGAGAAAGCACGGGTCCTCCCACTAACAACAAACTCTGTCCCTAACGTCGAGCACAGTTCACAAACAGGCACACAACTCACTCCACCTCCCACCCAGCCCTTCCCACCCCGGACGCCCACCGGCCCGGCCCCTACAGCTCCGGCTCCTTCCGCGCGCTGCCACGCAGTCGGGAGGCCTCCCCCGGCCCCTGCGGCTTGCTGACGTCCCACATGACGTGTGCTGATCTGCTCAAGCTGCACCTTCTCCCAAAAGCCTTCCGAGACCCCCCAACGTCAACAAACGTCTCCTCTCCCACTCTGCCACCACACTGCACTTGCACGTGAGGGCCCTGCCGGGACGTGTGCTCCGGTCCGTCTTCCCACCGCCGAGGAGAGCTGTGTCTTAGCTGCTGCGTAACCGGCATCAGGCCGGGCACAGGCTGGCCGTGCAGCTCCCTGCTCACTGATCAGATGGAGCACGGGGGGCATTGACATGACGAATTCCGAGGGGGAATAACACTCTTTCCTAGTTTCATTTCTTGAGAATTTAAGAAAGAAGGATTTCTTTAACTGAGCACCCAGGACATACAGCCCTGTGCCTTGCTCGCACCACGCGGGAGCAATGGGACCCTCTGAACGGACAGGACAGGCCTCGAGAGGCACTCACCCGCTCTCTCGCCCTGCAGCGCGGCTGCCTGGTTCATGTAGAACACGCCGATCTCGTTCCTGATGTTGCCCATCCTCTTCGACACCTGGACGCAGTGGTCCGGGTTCTGGCTCTTTAGGTCGCTGAACTGCAAGATCTCATTAGCGGCCTCGTAACATTTGCAGCTAACGGAAAGTTGGCTTTCCAAGTCTGTAGACAAATCAGTTGCCCACGCAAATCCTTGAAAAAAAGAAAAAGGAAACATGACTGTAAGTCACTTAAATCTTACTTCCTCAGTATTTAATCTGATACTTCTGAGATAATAAAATAAATGGAATGTAGTATGAAAATACAAAGATTCAATTAATAAAACTGTAAGTTTTAAAGTAAAGATCTCTTCATTCAGAAAACTATTATTTTCCTGGGACATTAACATTGGATTAAAATACTTTCCTGCCTAAAAACACCAAGCAGTTCCCACAACCCGTATTTTACCAGGTACACCTGCTTACTGCTACAGGGCTGAAGCTGTCTCCTGACACCGGGCAAGCCAGTCTTTGTTTTCACTAGTGGAAGCTCTGACTGCTACCAGAGGCAGTCAGGTGCGTTCCAGTCCGCCAGTGTACGTGTGGCTGGCTGTCTAGTGAGGACTGGAGGGAACAGGGGAACCCCAAGTTCAAAGGGAGAAAGGGGAGCACTCCTGTTGATAACACATACACGAGAGAACAACACTATCACAAAGAATATTTTAAATCAAATTAATACAACAGGAGTGGTAAAAACACACTGTGGATTTTCCCACAGTGTCTACTAAAATGAGAAACTCAGAAGGGGAAAGAGGAGAGAAAGAGGGCAAAAAAGAAAAAAAAAAATACTGTATTTCCCCTCAATGCACGTCTCTAGACGTTAAGTGTCGAAGACTTTCGGGAGGTGGAGAGCACGTGATGCACACAGCCTAAGAGTGTAAGAGTAATTCACGGCTCACTGCCGAAGACCGACCTCTCACCCCCACCCCCCCGGCCTGACCCAGCGCTCCGATCACCGCGCTGCGCTGAGAGGGAGGGCCCTGCTGCTGTGGACTAGGCTCCCCTGTGTCCCGTTTTAAAAATCCAATACCCCCCCTCCGAAAAAAAAAAGATACATTCCATCAGACTGCCAAGCCTGAGCTAAGTTTAACACAGGGCCTCTGTATCTGAGCCCCAGGAACCGTTCAGAAGGTGACCCACCCCGGCTTCCCAACGGTCCCCCTTCCCACAGACACCCTGGCTCAGCCCGGGGACCGCGAGGGCCGCTGGGAAACCCGCGCGGAGAGACGAGCGTGGCAAGCCAGCACGGCGGTCTCAGAGCCCATCCTGCAGTCGGTTCTGCCCGTGGGGTCAGTCAGTATAAAACGCTTCAGGAGCGTTTTATGTACAAACACACGCTAAAATTAAGAAGTAAGTGAAACGAAACAGCCACATCAAAACGCTGGCATCTCTGCCCCTTCTGGGACGAAGCCCAGCGAGCATGCGGGGCACGCCGGCCCACCGTGACAGCTGGACTCGCGGTGCAGGCTGTGCAGGATCTCCTGGTCCTCCTTGGTCTGGTAGTTGAACTCCTCCAGGTGCGCCGCCCTGTTGCTCGCGTTCTGGGCCAGCATCAGCTGGATGTCGCCGCACAGGGTCAGGTACTGCGACAGGAACAGCAGCACCTCAGAGAACATATTGGTGCAGAGGCAGCAGTACGTGTCTGTGTGGGAAGAGTAAAAAGGAGGAAGAAGGGCATTAAAAATTAACACAGTCAGATGAGAAAATCTGTCACCAGCTGAAAGCTTTGTAACACAGTATCTGCTCTACGTTTATGTCAAGTGTCAAATATGGCTTCACATATTTCAAAGTGAAGACACGTTAAACCACTCAGAGCAGAAAATGAAGAACTGCGTAGCTTACAAGGTGGAAAAGGCTGTTTCAGGAGTAAAACGGTACTGCGACCCGGATGCCCCCTCCGCTCCCCCTCCCACCCCCCCGCCGGGTGACGGCACCCGCTGGCGGCGGCGGCGACTCACCGTGGCTCTGCAGAGCGAGTCTGATGTAGCGCAGCGCTCGCCCGTACTTCTGCAGGCTCATGGCGGCGTCGGACAGGACGTAGTAGGCCTTGGACGACTTGAGAATCAGCTGCAGTTTCATCTTGTGTTGCCAAGAGCCAGGGACCATCCCAGACTGACAGGAGTAACTGCCCTTCTGAAGGGAGCCCACTGTGACAAAGGGCGGGGAGAGAAGGCAGCACACGTCACCAGAATGGGAGTCGCACTGGAAGGAACGGCCGCCACCAGAAACCCTCCAGGCGCAGGCACCCCCGCTGCTGCAACAGGACCGGTGCACGCGGTGCCCTGGGGGAGGAGCACAGCAGTGTCGCACCGGACACGCTCCCCGGGGAGTCCCTGAGCCCCCGCTTCTCGGCGGCCGGCAGCGGCCACTCCCTTCCAGGGCCACTTCCGTGCCTGAATTCTCGACCACCGCCCACCCCCCTTCTCCAGTCTACGCGACAGTCCGCCTAAAGGTCTCCTTCCTGGAGCCCAGCTTCACCTGCCGTTAGGATGGCTTCTCGCCCCGCACCCAGCCTCGCGTGCACAAGCGTCTCAGCGCACCGCCGGGCTGCCCTGTTTCCGTCTTCCTCCCAGGGCTCCGCACCCGCCCCCGCCGGCCGAAGTCAGGCTGCTGCTCGCTGCCTACGCGGATGCCTATTTTTCCCGTCTCCTGTCTTAGGGGGCTGCTGCTTCTATCGGGGACATTCTTTCATAAAGTCCAGCTTACGACCACCCTCTTGTGCTAAGCACCGTGCTAGGACTGCAGACGATGACATAAACGCATGGGCCTCTGCCCTTGAAGACGGCACAGACCAGAGGGGGAGACCGGCAGGTAACACAAACCACGACGACACACAGTGTGATTTCGGAGATGAGAACCACGTGCTGTGGGAGCCGCCCTCCCCCAGCCCCAGTCTCCAGGTTTCCCTGCTTTTATTTCTGATCAGCTACAGCATGTGCGTCTTTCAAAGCAACGAGACCTCACTCGTGGTTCTGTCTGTGCTCGAGGCCCGAGAGGACACCAAAGACGAGGGAGGCGGCGTGCCAGCTCACACGGTGTCCGAGAGCGAAGCCGCCAGGCACAGCTCACGGCGTGAGGCAGGCGTGGTGGGTGGTAAGGGGACCGAGACACGCCGGGGACAGCGGTGGGCAGGGAGACCCTGCGCATGCACGGCGGGGTTTTCAACAGCTGAGGGAGCAGGGGCGGGAGGGACAGACAGAAAAGGCTCTTCGGGGAAGAAAAGCAGAAAGGAAAACGAGCCCCGGAAAAAGCCCCAGACGTCTCGGTGCGGGTCTCCTTGCTGCATCCAGGCTCGAGCCTGGCACACGGGAGCACGTCGCGAATGCTGGGAAACCCGCCTCTCCCCACCCCAGGGAGGTTCCCCAAGAGAAGGTCCCAAAGCACTAGGTGTTATTTCAAACACACAGGCTTTCAAAGCAAGCTTTCAAAACTGAAACTGATTTTAAAAAGGAGGAAAGGTTGGAAAAATAAATCACTTGGATTAAAATAAACAAGGAACTCCTACTTTTACGGCAAGGCCACATGTCTTCACGAAGTGCTGTTCCCCAGGGACCAATCAGGCCTGCTTGTAAATGCCGCTCCCTGCCCATGCAAGCAGCACAAGGCAGCACAAGGCAACACCGGCCAGCTCCCCCGACGGCACTTGCCGTGAGCCCGTTCCGTGAGCCCGTTCTCAGGGCTGCACGCACTCACTTAGCCCTCGACCAGCCCTGTAAAGCAGCGCAACTATGGTCTCCGAAAAGCGCACGGCTGCCTCAGCAAAGCCAGGGCTCGGGGCTGGCAGCTCGGCTCCCGAGAGTACTCTGCCGTTTCCCTCCTTTCCCCGCAGCCTCCCCAAGTCTGCTCTCCCCGCGGCCGGGACTTCCCGGCAGAGCCCCCCCCAGCCAGGGCGGCAGGCACTAGTCCCGTAGCGGGTGGCACGAAGAGGCAGGTCCTATGCTCGCTCCATCAGAGGGTCCCGGAAAGGGTCAGACGACCCCGCTCTGTTTCGTGTTCTGGGTGAACAGGTATCTTCCCCTACTGTCTGTTCACACGCTAGCCTTCTTCTGAATCCGTCAGTGGATGCCTCAATGACGTACGTCTGCTGTTGGTGAGGGACTAACACATTGTCCTATTGAAAAGGCCTCATCTGCACATTAACTCAACTTACTTTTGTCCAAAAACAAGGCCATCTGCTTCTCCAGACCCTCGGGACCCCCCCTTGCGGATTCATCTTCGTACTTTAATGGAATTGGGGTGCTGGGGTCGGCTGCAGGGAGGTCGCTTTCTTTCTTAATGCTGTTATCCACCGATTTCAAACCCTTGAAGAAAAGGAGAAACATCCACTGCACAGGCAGCTGAAGGTCAGCTAGACACTAAATACAAGGAAATACCTGGACCACTGAGCACAGGTAGGAGAATTAATATTGTGAAAACAGACTTTAAAAACACACCTGACTTGAAAGAGTTGGGAAAAACTAATTTTTACTTCACGGTTAGAGAGAAAAAAGTCGCAGCAGAGTGTCACTCAGACCCCCAGGAACCAGTGCTACCTGCGTGCCAGGCACAGGTCTCAGCGGCGCAGCGAGGACGCACCCAGACTCACCTCCAGAACGTAGCTGAGCACCAGCCTGCAGCGCTCCTCCGTGTCGTGGCAAACCGGAAACGCACAGCTGGGCTTCGGAGACAGACACGTGAAACCGTTAATACGCTGCCCATGTGACAAATTCCCCAGCCCTCGGTCCCTGGGACTGCTCAACCTCCATACATCAGAAGTTTCACAATGTGCTTGTGTATTCAGCTTAGTGAGGCTAATCCACTGTTGTAACTGCAAGATTAAACTGATGTAACAAGCATCACCAACACAAATGCTGCTTAACAAAAAGGTTTTCTGGCACACAATGTTGCTTTAAGTACTAAAACTTTAAAAATGACTGTTATGACAAAAAAGTGAACGTGAGCAGTCATGTTTTAGATAAACGTACACCCTGTCTCGCAGGTCAGCTCAACCTGCACTTCGCAGCCCAGTTCCAGCACCGTCCACTCAGCAGTGAGTTGACGAGCAAGTGCCACCAAGGGTCTCCGCACGAGAGCGGCACTAACTACGAGTAAGGGCCTGCCTGGCACTGCGCTGCGGTGTGAGTCCCGCGGGGCCGGGGTTGGCGGCTGCCCTGACAGAGGAGGAGCAGGCACAGGCACAGGCAGAGGTCTGTCCGAGGGCACGTGAGTCAGTGTGGGGGCTGGGGCGCCGGAGCCAGGCCGACTCCACGCCTGGAAACGACACGGAGACGGCGAAGCCAACGGAAGACGCGTGTCTGGGAAAACCACCACGGAGTGCCAGAGACTGACAAAGTCCCGTCTCTGTAAAAACTGTGAACTAACATATCACTGCTTCTTCAATCATCACCTAATTGCTTCATAAGCCCAGAGTCTTGTGTCATAATGCAGTTCCTCAAATACACATCACTTCTGCAGTCAATGATTTGATGTTCAGAACAAGTTTTCACGCCACTGTGGGGTTCAAGCAGGAAGCGCGCTGAAGCTCAGACGGACAGTCAGTGACGTTTCTGCTGCAGCCGGTCCACATCCAACACGTGCCCGAGCCCCGAGAGACACTGCGCCCGTACCTTCGGGGAGCTTTCGCACCACGGAAGAGTGGACACGCACAAGAACCCCAGGTCACCTCCGGGGAAGGAGATGAAAACAGAGCAGGCTTTGGCGAAGCACCATCAGGGAAGGCCTCCTGGAGGAGAGCACGTGTCCGTCAGGACGCAAGGCTTAGAAAAAGGCGCCATGGACCGATCTGGGGAGGGTGCGTTCGGAGCACAAGCAACTGCAGCCGCAGGGGCCGAGATGGGCCACGTGTGAGGGGCAGAGAGACGGCAGCGTGGCGTGGGTGAGCGAGAGGGGAGAGTGCAGAGACAGAAGGTCAGAGACACGGGCAATGTGTTAGGGTGACAGAGGTGTCCCCTAGTAACCTAGTGGGATAAAAAGTTTCCATCTGAACACTGAGTTCCGAGCTCAAATGAAGAGACCATCCGTAAATACGACTGTGCCCCTCTTGCACGGCGACCTGGGCCTGATCCCAGGAGGCTGGACTGGAAAGTCACTGTAACTCAGAAAACGGAAACGCAACCGCACCACCGGGAAAACACGTTCTGCACCACAAGGAGCCTGAAGGGGGGCAGGTGTTGGGGTCTGTGTGGCCCCAAGAAGGCCAGAGGCAGGTCCCGCCTGGGCGACGTGGCTCCACCCCTGAGACAGCACCGCCCTGCAGCGCGGGGACGAGGTGCCAGACCTCTCAGCACACGGACCAACCCTGGGACACGGACGCACCCTGTCCACAGCCACCCTGGGACAACTATAAAACCAAGTTCAGAATTTTTAGAGCCAATGATTGTGAGACCCTGGACCATGAAAGACTTGTGGCAGTAACGCCACCTTCTGAGAGGCTGACTGTGCTCATTGAACCACGTTTCATCACTGGTACCATCTCGATACAAATTTAAACACGCTTACTCTGATCTGATGGATGGACTTGTACTTCTCTGGAACGGACAGTTCTCCAACGGACTTGATTATGGCCACCGCTTTGTTGTCCTCCGGAGGGTCGGAGCTGGTGCTGTAGGACCCGTTCTCGTCGCTGTCTGGCATCTCCTCCTCCTCCTCCTCCTCCTCGCTGTAGCTCTCATCAGAATTCTCATTCAAAGGACACTCTGAACTTTCTTCTTTTTTAGGTTCATCCAGTTGAAAAAGCTCTGAAAGCATGTAATTGGCTGAAGCAATAATCTTATAGAAAGAAAAAAAAAAACGCGTGTGACCATCCTCCAAGCCGAGCAGCCGAGCAGTCTAAAGCAGGGTGAGCCTCATGGCTGCGCTTACACTCCGCGGGGTCTGCCCACGGCTGTCCCCACCGGAGACCGCAGCAGCGTGCGCACAGAGAGGCGCGCCCCACTCGAAGTCACCGGCACTCTAAGCGTGCTCTGCTGAAGTCCACGGGTTGGTGTCTGTTTCCTGAAATCATCCTATCCCCAGCCCTCTCTTTAAAAAAAAAAGAAAGAAAAAAGGTGGCAACTGTATTTCACCGGAGACGAAAGTGCTCACGTGTAGAGTATGTTAACTCTCAGCAAGCGTGTCCTCCCCACCCACTGAGGACACGGCATTCTTCTTCACAAGCTATAAATCAGCAGCAGCTTATCTCGAACAGGCAACTAGTATTTACCACGGAATTTACCGTCCCCAGGGGAAAGCCCCCCACTAGCTTAATGAGGGCGAAGTTGAGCCTGGTGTCCCTTGAAATGGGCACGTACAGATGACTGTCTTTCCCACTCTAATACATGATTCAGTGGTTCGTCATCACCGGCACACAACAGCTGCCACGCCATTTTCCGACTGTCACATAAACTACTCAACATCCACTGACCACCACCACTGCAATTAGATACTGAAGTCACAGCTGCTTTTTTCCTGCAAAAAAGTTTTCTCTTGGTTTGGTCTCTAGAATGATCTTTAAACTGGATGTGGATACAATAAATATCAACTTGAATCGTGTAGTAAAAAGTGTGCATTCTACAGACCCTCTCCGATGTAAACAGGCTGCAGCCGGCCTTCCACCAAACACCACAGCGGTCAGACCCAGACAGCGAGGGGTGCGGTGAACTTGCGGGCCACGGCGGAGGGACTTCGTAGAGAGACGCGTTTATTACTGTATGCTGAAGTAGGGAAGGCGAGCCTGGTTTTTGCTAACAGCGATCAGCAAGGTCCATTTGTGTAAACAGATCTTAAGATACTGTGAAGTAGGTTTCCATCTCCAAGCAGTGATAAAACAAAGGGGGAAAGAGCACTCGCCACGAGTTCTACACTTGCAGGACAGTGCTGTTCAAGAAGAATGCGACGTGAGTCACATACGAAGCTTTAAATAGTCTGGTGGCCACATTAAATATCCAGTGAGAGTCAATAATGTGTTTGACTCAACAAACACATAACATGCACACACACACAATCTTCAAAATTCAGTGAGCGTTCTGGACTTACAGTGCACCTCAATTCAGAGCGAGCGCGTTTCCAGGGCCTGACGGCCCCGCCCGGCCCCCGGCCCCCAGCCCCACCCCGGGTGGGGCAGCCCTCACGCCCAGACCGCTTTCCCGGGCCGTGTTCCCACAGAGCACGGGACGCTCATCTCACCTGGGGGTGTCTGCTCTTGTCCAGCAATTTAAGGCAGTTGAGAAGCAATGTCCTGATAGTCCCATAGTGTTTCTTATTTTGATTCTTCTTCATCATCATGTTGCAAGCAACCCTACAAAAAAAGTTTACACCAACTGTGCTCCCCATTTACCATTCTCTGCAAGACTGCAATCTAGGCTCACCCCTCTCTCCTCCCGACAGAGGGAGGGCCCGAGGAAACACCAGACACTGCACCCCCCAGCCCCGCGAGTGTATCTTGGCACAGTCGCTGTGCGTGTGTGCACACGTACACACACACACACATACAGGTTTTGTTTTCCAAGCTGTGAAGACCTGACAGGCATTTAAAAGCCCTGGCTTGGCCAGTGTGGCTGTACACTGCATTTTACAAACGCTACCTCTTCCCCTTCACGTCTGACAGCACTCACTTGTATAGGAGAATGGCCACCGGCATCGTGAACGGGTTTTGGTATTTGTCTTCAGTCTCTTCACAGAGGGTAGTGAGGTCGTAGAGCTTCACTATGTCACTGCCACTCGCTGAAAACAGACAAACAAACAAATAAACCTCACTTTATACCAGTCCCTCAAATAGATTATTATTTACTCAAGAACTGGCTCACCTTTAAACAGCCAATAGGTATGTCCCTCTTTGGTACAATTAGATTTCAGAAATGACAAAATATTCTGGGCAATGTCTTTTATGACTTTAGTAGAAAAATTAGAGTTTTCCAAATCAGGAATCTCTTCCGTCTTTATCATTTCGTACTTCTGTAAAACACAGACGGAAGGCAGTTTCAGAGGAAACTTAGGCAGCAACGCTTCTTATTAAAAAGCAAGCACACACACAACCCCGCAGGCAGGAGGCCCATGCAGCACGGACAAGAAGTCACCAGCGGTTTCCCGCCTGGCCTCTGCCCCTGCCTTCCGGAGGAACCCGACCCACCCGCGGCAGCGCTGCTGCTTCACCCCGGAGTGGTCTCCGAGGAGCAGCCCCAGCAGACCGGGCTGCACAAGCGCAGGCACGGTCTCGTCTCTGCGCTCACCCGAGCGAGCCCCGCAGCACCCCCTTCTAGTCCGTCCACCCCAGCGGCTCTCTGCGGGGAGAGGGCACCCGAAGGCGGACTCCACCCAGTGAGCGGAGACGCTTCCCCCAGGAGACACTCCTTTTGCCCTCCAGCTGTGCGCGCTACTGCTTTCCGGGAACGGAGCACGTGGGGGGGGGGGGCGGGGGCAACAGCGAGGATGAAGGCTGTGTGCCCCTGACCACCGCCGTCCTTAAAGCACCCCCTGCTCTCTCCCAGCTCGGCTCCCGCTCACACTTCCCGAACCCCCTCTCCCATCTGCGGGAGTGCTCCAGCGCCAGAAACTCCACGTCAGTCAGGACACAGGACCAAACCTAGTCCCCTAGGGTTTGCATCCCTCGTGGCCCTTCCAGAGCTCTCCTGGAGTTCGCCCGGCACCATCGGGCGCTCCTCCCCGTCTGGGAACCGCCCCCTGACCCGTGGGGAAAGGCTCCGTGCCGAGGGAAGCAGACTCCCTCGGTGGTGAGCTCTAACAGGGTCTACCCGTCTTCTCTAACGCCTGCAGTCAAAAAGCTCAGCGGCACTTCAACGCTTTCCTCGGCCAAAACCCAGGACACTGGACGAAGCCAACCCACCGTCCCCCTCTCAGACGCAACACGACCACGGTTCCAGCCCCCGAGCCGAGCCGAGCGCTGGAGTCAAGTCCCTTGGACGCTTCCCCTCTCCTCACCCGGGGCCTCTCGGTCAACGCCGCCATCAGGGTGATGGTGTCACCGCGGTTCCCGACCAAGGGTGCAAGTCAGATTCGTCCACGAAGCCCCGCCCCTTCTACATCACTGCGGCCCGAGCGAGGTGGGTTTTCAAGGCACCCACGAGGGGCTCTGATGCACACTGCAGCCCCTGGGCTGCAGCCACTAACAACGGTTAAAAGTGTGTCCTTGGTCGGGGACGGGTTCAAATACTGGCACCACCACTGACCAGCAATGTGGCTCTGGGTGACTCACTTGAACCCCGAGTCTCCCTCTCCCTCCAACGGGAATAAAGGTACATGGGCAGCTAAGAGCTGATGCGATCATCAAATAAGGCAATGCCTGTAAAGCACTTAGCAAAGCGCTTGGGACAAAATGCACGCAATGAACACTAGCCATGATGACCTGTCAGTTCTTCGCAAGTGTGAGGGCCTCGTGCACCGACAGCCTGGGCTATGGCGTCACTTCTGAAAGCAGTGCACACCTGACCTGTCCTCGTCTCCAATCCTGCTGACCTGTCCTGCACGCATGCCACCCTCAAATGAACATCCCGACACAGGAGCCCCCGTCCCAGACACAGAGATTCCCCTGACTCCAGGGCACCAACCGAACCGAGTCCACCCTCCTTGGCTCAGCAAGACTCCCTGCCGTCTGCCTAGGACTCTGCCAGTCTCCCCGCCGTTCTGCTGCAGGGGTCTTCCCTCGCTGTTCCCTCACTGGTGTACCGTCGACCCCTCGTTTCTATCACGCGTCTTTGAAATCCACCTCTTATTTTCCGGAACGCTATCTGTCATTCGAGATCAAGTTAGGATGCCACTTCCTCCACAAAGCCTGCCTTCCAGATCGGGACAGAAGGGACCCACCCTTATAAAAGCATCCACGCTCCGTGTATCACACTTCCAACACTTAACCCGCCACTTCCCACTCTCTCTGCACATCGTTACCCCCCACGAGGTGCCTTTCTGAGCGATGACCACACTTGGTTGTCTGTTCCCCCCAACATTCACCACGGGAACAAAGCGCCTCAGAAGCAGACACGCCCAACAGCAACGTGCTCCACAAACTGTGCACCGTGTGCCACGGGCACCGTGGCCTTTCCCTGACCCTCGCACGCACGCACCGAGCTGCACAAACACCTCCCCCACACGGACGCTGCCAAGTAACTAGTCGGGGTAGCGGGCTTCACAGCTGGAGTTCTGTGGCTCCAGATGTGGGTTTAGGGCTTTCATGACCTTCTCAAGAGTCACCTGTAAAATTACACTCCTATAACGTCTAGAATTCTATCAACAACTCAACTGGGAAAATACCCAAGTTTCAGTTTATTCAAGCTGTCTTCCTTGTCAAAAATACGCCTTGGATTTTGAGGGCCGTAAAAACCTCGCCGAGGTGCCCTCGGCACCAGTTTGCCCTTGAGAGGTTAGAAAACTCACTCTGTATCTTACCTGTACAATTCCATTTACATGAAAACACATCACAAGCTCTGGCACATTGCATATCAAGTTGTCCAACCAATAGTCAATTCCAGTTAGCACATTAATTGGTTTGTTGTTATCCCTAAAAATATACATTTCTAGTGTTATTTGGTTTAATTGAGACGTTCCATAATGAATGATCTGAGACGCATGTCTCCTGTTTAACTATGGTACCCTATGCTCCCTAGATGGGAAATGCCGTGAGCTTCCTTGGCTTGGCTGGCGAGATGAGCACGCGCAGCTCCCGTGCTGTGTTACATTTAACATCGGTTCATGAGCTCTGCCTGCATTTCTAACTGGGGTCCGTACGGCTTCCGTAGGGACAGAGGGAAGCCGGCAGCAGACGGCCGTGGGCCTCCCGCACGCCCCTCAAACCAGCTGAGGGGCAGGCCGCCCGCCGCGCGTGGCCATGCCCGAGTGAGAACCCATGTCGGCTACCGTGCTCACACAGGTGGTGCAGGGAGAACAGCGCTCACAGGGGGCGGGAAGCCGGAAAACCACCTCCCTCGCTGATCAGATAAACCCACGACACTCGCACACGCTGCAGACTCAGACCTGAGACGAGGCCGGGGCAACAGAGCTCTGACTCCGTCCACCAGGGACCGTACCGAAACCCCAGCTACCGGGCTGTCGGCACTGGCTGCTAACAGCTCCTTTCTTGTTACCGTGCCGACTCGACTGGCGAGGGCAGGGCAGGGCTCAAACACCTGGAGAGGGCAGTGGCGGCCCGGCAGACGGGTGCGAGCAGGACGGGACGGGGACTGGAAAGGAACCCGTGTGCGGCTTACCTGAGGCGCAAGCTGACTGCGGGGTACCTGCCTCCCCCGAATATGGGCATGTTGGAGCCCACCAGCATGTGTATGTCTTCGAACGTCCACAGAATGTTCCGCACAAAGTCATTTTTAAGACCCTTTGGTGTAAAACAGGCAGGATTACTACATGATGCACAGGAGCTCCGTCATTCCCCCCGTGACCCCCGGAAAGACCAGAGAAGGGGAAAGACAAAGGAGACAAAGGAAGTTAATGAGACAGCCTGTGAGATCAGAGGTATTTCGAGAGCAACTTCCGGGATGGAGTAGGTTTTTCCCTACGAAGTCCCACGGAGACTAGCTCCTAGGTCACGAAGCAGGCTGCGGACAGCGTCGGCGCGGGCGGCGCGGCAGGCATACCTGACTGTTCTCCCCGTCATTGAACAGAGTGGTCAGGTTTTGCTCTTTGGGCGCCGAGGCCACGTGCCCCACTATGCATGAGGGTTCAAGAGGCTCACCTCCCTGTGGAAAGTGCAAGGACAGGAGTGACTCTGCTGCCGGGGCTTCTGGTGCGCCGCCTGCCGCTGAAGAGCCTCCCGCAGCGCTCACGGCCGACGCCTCTGGCCGGCCTCCCCCCGCCCCCCCCCCCCCGACTCTGCTCAGGGCACAGGGCACTGCCGGGGCTCCGGTCGCCGTGACCCACGTCCCTCGCAACCATCACTCACAGCTACTATACTGGGCTCATCACATTGGGTCTCACTCAAAAACAGGCTCAAGATTATTTTACTTTCAAAGTTTTAAGCTTTTCTCCTTTTGGGGTGAGTTTCAATACCCGTGCTCTTTAGCGCGCCCCACCCCTGCGAAATCAAACTGCTCCTAAGAACCCCCTGCCCCACTTTCGAGACCCCCATCGTGGTCACAGCCGTCTGCATCTGTTGTCAGTGTGCGCCACAGAACGCGGTCCTGGGACACCCCAGAGTGAGCTGTGACAGACGCTGCTGGCCGCAGACTTGCTTTGGGGTAACGAAGCCGAGTACTGTTAAAAAAGCCTCTGCCGGGTCCCGCAGCAGACAGATCTCTACCTCACCTGTGCGACCCGACGTCCTCAAGTGCCCTGAATCCCAGAACTCCTACTCCTCATGCAGTCCGTGCAACAGCTTTGGAAAACTCTCCCAGAAAAGGGGACTTGTGACAACGGGTAAACTGAGTGGTGACTCAATTTTCCGATGATTAGGGCAGCTGCCACTAAGAAGCATGAACTCTTCACGTCAGTGCCAGAGCAGCCCCCAAATGAGTGTGCGCATGTGGACACTGCTTTGCCCGTGAACTCTCACCTCCGCCCACGCGTGTACAAAGAGGCTTACGACTGACTGCCTGTGAAGGAGTGCACGCGACTCCAAGGCCGGGCTGCACATGTAATGTCCAGTGCTTCTGCTGCATCCTGACCGCTTAAAGGGCCCTAACGGAGCTTCCAACTTTTTTACTATTTATTTACACGGCCCAGTTATTAACCTGCGGGCCAACTCCCAAAATCCTACTTGCCAGGTGGATGCTTTAGCGGGTCTGGGCTCCAGGCTATGACGCCCCAACTAAAGGTCTGCCTGGCTCTAAGACCACACTAAAGACGCCTATGTCACCGATCACTGCTTAACCCAGGCCTTGAACTAGCAGTCTTGGTTTGGGGAACAAGAATTCATGAGGTGCTGGCTTGCAAACAAAAATAAATCTCTAAAAGCTAAAATTCAGGCCATATAACATGTTATGAAAATAATATGCAAAAGATTATTTTGCTGGCAAGCCAGCTCTTCCCGGGAACATGCCATTGCTAAGACCACCCGACCGCTCTGGGGCCCTTGTAAACGTGGGGAGGACATGGGCACGGCAGAGGATGGCGCTACGACAGGCCCCTGCAGTCACCAGGGTCAGCGTTTGAGCCCCAGCTGGGCCTCCGCCAGCTGTGTGGCCGCGGACAAACGTCTGCTCGTTGCTCATCGGTAAGAGCTTCAGTGGGCTCGTCTGTGAAACGATAGCATCCACACCTGACACATGTGCAGCTCTGAGGATGAGAAAACGGTGCACACACACGCGCACACACACTATGAAGCACATGGCGAGAGGCATCAATGAGGGGCAGTTTACTGCCTCCACGTGCCAGTCTACATGTGATCACCACACGAGGCGAGAAGAGAATGGGGGAGGGGAGATGGGCGGAAGGAGCCTGGTGTTTGTTTCTATGGTGAGTCTCTCGTAATGTGTGGGTTTTGAAGTCAGGGAAGACTGGAAAGTTTTTAAAAACTCCTTCGGTGAAATATAACCACATACAGGAGAGCATGTAAAACAAATAACACAGCCTAATGACAAAGCACAAAGCACACAGCACACGCCAGTGTCCCCAGTCCCCACGTCTCGACCTGGGAGCCCCCAAGTCCCTTCTCACTCACGCCCCCCCCCCCCCCGCCCCCAGTGGCCACCACTGCACCAGCCTGCACGCCAACTCCTTGCTTCCTTCTCCTCAGCTTTTCCCGACTTGGGAAAAACATGAACTCATTCCACAGTCTAGTGAGATTTCTCCATCTTAAAACCTACGAAAACTACAACCAAGGTAAATGTATTTGCTTCCTTGTAACCCTATAATTTGTAAAGACATAAACAACCCGGATGAGTAATTTTCACTTCGTGAGAACAATTTACCAAGTTAAAGATTGTATTCTTATCTTCTTAGAGTTTGTCCATCTATCTTCCTTGAAAACAGACATGTATAATTCACACCGACGGGATTCTTTCTTTCTTTGATAGCAACGACAATGAAGTTAAACAAGCAATAAGAAGAAACCAAGAACATAAGGGAAAACAGACCGTATTCTACTCTTTTCCGTTCTAAAAGCTTTATAAGGTCGATGTGGGTTAAAGTCTCAGGAACTTCACCCAGAAAACCTTAAGGGTGATTTTAGGCCTAACAATCTGACTACAAGTTAAAGTCGGCATTTCGATCACAAACAAGTCTGAGGCGATACTTGAGAGGCACTTACTCCACATCCGATGGTTAAAACACACTGCATCACTACATTCATTGTGTATTACAACACTCACGACTTTAAGGAGATAACCAGTATTAATAATCATGATGGTGAGCTATTTTAAATGCTGATACAATTTTTACATATTTTGATTTAATTAAAAAAACCTGATCTAGCCATTGACATCTCTTGTACATTGCTCTTGAAAAACTGAAAGTACCGTTTTCTGACTGTGAGCCATGAAGTGACAGAGTAACTCTTACTCCCGTTTGTGTATTTTTACTAGCAAGAGAACTGGTTTGTCTCCACAAACGCGTCCACGGAAGCAGCCCCTCGGCGCGGACTCACCTGGCTGGACGCGCCGGGATCCTCGGAGACGGAGGCAGGCATGTCGAAGGGGGCGGGCCACGAGGCCCCGTCCGCGTCCTGGGTCTGGTCGGAGCCTGGAGGGTCCTGCTGCCCCGCGGCGGGCGGGACGGGCTGCGCAGCCCCATCACCGTTGATACTGGCCACGTGGGAGACAGAGCGCATCACACTGCTGCCCGAGCGAGGCTCGTGCGAGCTGACTACTTTTTAGAAACTAGACTGTGATCAAACGTAAGTCTTATTTTTTTAAAAAAAGATAAGACACCGAACTGTCAACAATACCATAGTGGCAGACCTTAAATTATTATTGTTACTGGCTTCAGATTAAATTTCCGATCAGAATTTAATTTTCCTTTCACGATAAGACGAACAAGCAGCGGAGTACCTGTAGTACAGAAACTTGGAGAGAATGGCCTTCTGGTGCCAGTGCTCTTTGCTCTTCTTCTTCCGCTGCCACTTCTGGTCGATGAGCCTTTGGTAGAACTCCTTCAGCCACGTCCAGTCCCCGGTCTGAAAAACAGAAGATGCTGAGGAACGCGTCAAAACCGTCTGTTACCTATTACTCTTTTACAGGAAAGACTTTTTGTTTTTTAAATACTATTTCCTAAATACATACCCAAGCACTTATCTTTCCAGAGTCCATTCCTGTCGCTTCTTCTAGAAAATCTCCCTGTCCTTCCCTGTCTCCCCCGCTCCCTAAGCCAGGAGAGCAGAGGTGACCCTTCTCCGTAACATCCGCTCCGGCGCCTGGAGAAGCCCCACTGTGCGCAGTGTGCTGCAATGGTGTGTGTGTGTGTGTGTGTGTGTGTGTGTGTGTGTGTGTAACACCAAAGCTGGAAGCAGCCAGGAAGCAAGAACCACTGTCAACCCGAGACCTGCCCAGCAGCGAGCACACACGTGTCAGACTGAACGGAACTGCGGTCTTTGTGAAGGGACAGACTCGACTTTAAATGCCGATCAGATCACAGTCACTCATCTTCCTGCACCGAAGCACCGCAGGAACCGTCTTTGAAGAACAGCCTACGGGACTGGCAGAGCCGTGAACTACTGGCGGGGAACAGCCCATGAAGAGCTAAGCACAGCAATGGGGAGTGAGCCTTGGGGACAGCAACAGGGAGCTTTTTCACAACAGGTCCGTCGTCGGTGTCTGGGGGGAAGACGTCGTTTACCAACACTGATCGAGAATCTCTGCTCTTAACAAAACCTGTTCATTCTAACAACTATGGACTTGTAGGAATTGTAATATTTCTCACACCTCCTGGCAGTCCTATTGCTTGAGGATCTCCTTAAGGGAGACATCACAGCGCTTTCCAAAAGTTTAAACTAGCCCCTTTAATTTCAGAATTCTCACAACTTTCTTCATTGGCGTCATTATTTCTCTTGCAAGAATCCTGGCTATCAGTATCAGTAAGTTTCTTGCCAATTCTCTTCCCTATTTTTTACCAAAGCTTTTTTTTATTATCAGTGAAACTTCTCATTTCTCAGTTGCTGAAGCCCTCAATTACGTTTCCACTTCGACCTTTCTTTGAAACAATCACATTTCTAGCCCTTAAGTTGTTAATGCTTTTCGGGTGGTTTTCCACCAAAAGTGGTACCTGCGACGACCTCATGAAGAGCTCCTGAATGTCCAGCTCGTCCAACAGGAGAGTCCTGCCCACGCGGTGCACGGCCATGCTCACGTGGGACTTGCTATAGGGGATCTTCAGGAGCTTTTTTATGTTCTCAAAAAATGAAGAGGAAAAAAGAGTTTAGAAAGATGTTTGTAGTGTGATTCAGGATCTTTCCATTTTAATGTCATTCAATTTTAAAGCATAATAAACCTTATTTACCTAAGGTTATACAAACTGTGCTTTACACGAAGAGCTAAATACAAACCTAAAGACAGACCTTCAAAACTTCAATCACCCGCACTTTACAAGTCATACTGTGTCAACCTAACTGATGGTCACAGGTGCAGTTTTGCAGGCAAGAATCTCCTGAAGTTAAGTGATAGGTCACACTCGCACTGACCTAGGATTTTAGCATATCAGATAAAACTGACCAACTAAGGAGCGATAGATCTTGCTAGAAGCAGCATTTCTAATTCTCAACTGGTAACATACGAAATCATCCCAAACATTCTCATCACTTGTAACTGCTGGTTTTATATTAGCATTGCAACCGCTGCCAGTGTTTTGGGGGCTGTTCCTTCCTCTCTGAAGAAAGGAGGTGTGCTCAGGAGTGTTACTCTAATGACCAAGAAGGCATTCGGCAAGCACAGAGCTGTCTAATTTCATCACCAGTTTTGCAGGACCACAGAGCAGAGCACGCTGTGAGTGCCCCGCACAGGTGCCCCGACCCCTCTGCCCCCCCCAGTAAGGACACTCACCTCCGAGTCCGAGACGACGTCCACATCGTTCCCCACGGAATCGATGAAGTCGTACGCCATCCCAAAGCTAAAGGGGGGAAAAAGGCCGTGAAGGTCACGCGCACAGTGACGCAGGCAGAGTTAGTCACAGAACACTGTCGTTCGCCCTTCTAGGCTGCACAACTGCCACATTCTGGCAACTCCGACATCCGTGAGCCTGCCACCAGTCTGGTCAACTAGGTTTTCCTTCTCAAAGGTACATAAAATAACAGTGTGATGTATAAACAATGGCACCTTAGACTTGATAAAGTAAAGTAATAATCATTAGGAGCAATTCACAGAAATATCTAGAATAAAAACAATGAAAATTACGGTACTTCCATTGTGTAACCACAAGCCTCAAAAAATCTCCAAGAGAAATCAGTTCAAGATGTTACTCTTTTTAGGTGGGAAGGTCAGAAAAACATTTAACAGTATTTCAGTCTTTGAGACTGTGTTCCAAGTAATACACAATGCTACTCTTTTAAAATACACATCAAAAAAAGTGCACCTGACCCCAATTCAGCAGAAGGAGAAAAAAAATGTGCCAGACGCCACGTGAGGCTCGTGTACGCTCTGCACGCCTGACGGGCACCTGCCGGCAGCGGTTTTCAGTGAGCCAACGGCCGGGAGCGGGACGCGGGCCCAGGACCACCGCCCCCCCGCCACCCGTCACAGCATGCTCTGATTACCCAACCCTCCCGCGCTTCGGGTTTGCCTTGTGCAAAGTGGCCAACAGTGCCTAACTCAGAGGCTTACTGTTAGAATTAAGTGACATCAACATGTAGAGTACTTAACCCAATGTATGCAGTCAATATAATCACCATTTACGTCACTCCTAACATTTCGTGGTGTTCACACATCATAATTAAGCCATTCTTCTGAAAGGAGACACATGGACCATTTCCAACTTTTTGCTGGTAGAAATTTCGCTACAGACAACGACATCTGCGAGCATAACCTTCACCTGGAGCGGCATCAGGAGGGCTCCCACGGCACCGGCTCCGAAGGCACTCGCGTACTCACTCACTCACTCACGGCGCCTGCGGTGCGCCGTGTGGAGACCCTGCAGGCTCGACCACCGGGAGGACCGCGGACAGCCCCCCGCACGCACTGGCCTACAAGACTACGGGTGCTCACGCTCTGGTCTCATGAGACCCCGGGCTGCTCTCTCATTCCGACGCACCGACAAAGTGTCCAAGTCAAGGTACGAGGCACCCAGCTCGCTGGATCCCTACCTCAGGCGCTTCCAGACCAGACTACCCAGGCCAGACCACGGAAATGCCCCAGGGCAGATGAGGCACCTTCGGTGGCTTTCCCCCCCAGGCGTCCCCTCAACTCTCTGCGGTCACACATTCCAGAGATAAGTAAACTGGCTAAAAATAAAACACCTGATTGAACTTTAGAGGTCAAAATTCAGCTTTGACAACAAGGTGATGCAGACTTGAGAGAAGCATGTGCAACCACTATCTTCATGTTATATAACCCGATCGGCAGCGGAAAAACAGGGCTCTGAAAGTCCCATCGACGAGCACTACGAGTTAAACGGAAAAGCAAGCGCCAGAGTTCAGTGGGGAGCAGGGCTTGGGGGCAGCAGTGAAAGTACCGCTGACTGACCCTGACCGGAGTGGCTCCGCTGGGCCCACGAAGCCAAGCGCAGCTGGGGTGATGCCCGGTCTGGGCACATCCTGGGTATGGGGCGGGTTCCAGAGGCAACCAGTCGATGTTTCCCTCTCTAAAAGTAAATTTTTTTTTTAAATCTTAAAAAAAGGAAGCAACACACAAACACTGATTGACACTTACCTTGAAAACGGCTTGCTCTTCTTACTGTTGCCAAGAATGGTGGTTCCTGCCGGCCCGAGCTTGGCGCTCTCTCGCAACCAGTTGGCAGGTGGGAGTTTCAAGTCTGTCTTCTCCTCGAGGCGCGCGAACGCGGCCCGAGGAGGGGCGGAGGAGTACTTCACCACCGCGCGGCTCTTCACTTCGCTGCCCCCGAGACACAGAGCTGACCCCTAGACAGCACGCGGAACGGAACTTCCATGAGCACCCCCGAGGTCGAAGAGAACCCCACCTTCTTACAGGAAGACAACAAGGACCCACGCACGACATCAGGCTTCCCCAGGATGTACGTCACATGCTACTAATAGCACTGACACATGGGAGCATAATCTGTCACATTTAATTAGCTCTTCTTTTTTTTTTTTAGCCAAACTGTTTCAAAGATACAACATAAGTCACGCAGTAGGATGGTTACAGTGATGACCAGCTGGGAAGCAGGCCGGCCAATCTACCTTTTCGACGTTATTCACAGAAAGCGGGGAAGCGGGAACCAGCGAGAGTCAACACTGGTGTCAACTAAATGCCACGTTCGGTCAAACCTCCATCCAGGATCAAACACGTATTTTAATTCAACACCACACACCATTTAGAGAGCAGCTTGTGGCAAGACAGGGGCTCTGGGTGGGCAGACGTTTAGTACTTAATCCTCTGACGCTCTGGGCGGCGGCCCTGGGGGCTCCCCCCAGCCGCCACTCGCACCCCCTCCCCGCAAGCCCAGGGGCGCGCCCACGACGCCCTGCCCTCCTCTCCCGCAGTCCCCGGCTAACACTGAGCATCCTCCAGGCGTGCCCGGTCCCGCTCCCCGAAACCCTCTCGTCTCCCTCCCTCCTCGACGGCTGGGCCACACTTCGGAAGCACGTAGTGCTTACACGCACGAGCCTTGACGGCAGAGGAAGCGTCTAGATCACCGATCGGTTACCCTGGGGGTAACCAGGGCAGCCAGGGTAGCTTCTGACACAGGTGACTTGCAAGTAAATGCCTGGATGCCGGACGACGGGCACACAGACGCAAGCCCCGTTTTCGGGGGGCTGCCGCCGGGGAGGCTCGGAAAAAGCGCCCGAGGCCGCCGGGAACCGTGACATCTCTCTCCCCGGAGGAACGGGCCCGCAGCCCCGGAGTCCCGCAGTCACGCCCCGCGGACTCACCTGTGCAGAAGGTTCCTCAGCCTCTCCCGGGGGCAGCAGGCTGAGTCCTCCGCGAGCCGTGGCCCCGGCCGGCGGAGCGTCGGCCCCGGCCTCCTTGGAGTCCCCCATCACCTCGGGCCGGAGAAGGCGAGGCGAAGCAGGACCCAAGTCGCCGCGACGGGAACCCGGGCCCACCTACACGGCCGCACAGCAGAGAAGGCGCCAGGAACGCCCCAAAGACGCCCCAGAAACGCCCCTCGCACCGCACTTCCGGTCTCTCGCAGGAAGAAATAACTGTGGCACGCCCAAATCTCGCGAGCTTTGTGCCCGAGGCCCGGCCCGGCTTCTCCCCGGGGCAGCCACCTTCGCGGCCAGGCGGGAGCTGTAGTGCGCCTGCGCCTTCAGAGCCTCCCTGGAAAGCCACTTCTCGCGGTATCTGACTTTTACGCTCCGCCCCTTGCGCAGGGTTGGTCTTTGTTGGCAAACAGCTCTTGGCACTTGGGCCGCGGGCACGTCGGTGTCGCCGGGGTTCTCGCTGCGTGGGCGGGGACCGCTGCTGTCCGTTATATAAAGTAGTGCAATGTTAGCAGTCTTCTCTCCCCGGCCTCAGTGCGTCCTCGGTGCACAAACGGGCTCACGAAGACGTGCCCCGATGAGGGGCATTCAAGCCTCGAGCCCGCCCCGCCTGGGTGTCCTGTCCCCGCATCACAATGCCCGGGTGGCCCGCAGTCCCGGGAGCAGGAGCGGCGGCCGGGCTTCAGAGGCGGTGGTCCCTCCACAAGGTTTTCGTGGCCAGGTGCCGCGATCGCAGCATCTTCCGAGAGCCCGCGGTTTGGCTGGCCCCGGGCACTAGCCACGGGCGTTGCGGGTGGTCCAGGAAACACCCGGGGGCACATTCTGATGCCGCGGGCCTGGGACGAGCCTGAGCGTCTGCGTTTCTATCAGGCTCCCGGGAGACGACGCCGGCGCTGGGAGCAGCCGGGAGCTGCCGGGAGCTGGAGAAACTGCCGAGGCGGTTTTAAGGCTTCGCAGCTGCTAGTGGGCCCCGTCATCCGCGTGCTCCGCGCCCGGTGTCATATCGAGCGTAGTTAAATAAGGCCACATACTTCATAAAAATTTGCTTTGCGGTAAACTATTGGAAGTTTATTTGAAAAATTAATTTGTCTTGCAGCTATGTGGCTTTCTCTGATAACTACGTGCATATTCAGAAATCCTTGTGACCGAACGAACTCAACTGGCAATTTGCTTTTTTCAAATGGAACAAAACATTTTTCCAGGTTGTATTTAACATGGAATGTGATGTAGTAGGACATTTTGTAGACACGTCAACATGTATTGATTTTGATATTTATAATTTTCTGTTTGTATTTTGCACCCAGTTATTTTTTTTTTGCAAGTAATACGTTGTTACTATAGTAAAGAAAATGGACACAAATATCTAGATATTTAACGAGGATGGTTAAGTCTATTTTGAGGACGTAATACTATTAACTTGGGTAACCATTAACTTCTTTTTCAAGAAATGTAAGTTGTACATGATATGATGTTGAATGATAACACTTTAAAAAGCACATAACGCAGTACGATCCTAATTTTAAAAACATGTCTATTGCTGTGTTTATGTCCATCAACACGAGTGGTAAGATGAAGTGATTTAAAATGTATGCTTTAAAGCTTCTTTATTTTCCTGTTTCTTTCTTTCTAACTATGCATTACAGGCACGCCTCGTTTTATTGTGCTTAACTTTGTTGTGCGTCACAGGTGTTGCTTTTTTTTTTTTTTTAACAAACTAAAGGCAAAACCCTCCACCAGCAAGAAGATGACTACTCGCTTTATCCCTGTTCTTGTTTTCCAATGGTGGTCTGGAACCAAACTGGCCATGTCTCCAAGGAATGCCTGTATTTTATAGTCAATGTAATTTTATTAAGCTTTTAAACACACACACAGACATATATATATATATAATTTTGCTTTTACTAATCTTGAAATTGTTGTTTTCATTGTATAATTTTTTGTGAGAAGGAGTTTCCTGAGGCAGCAGTAATTCCTTTCTCAAAGGGATTGCAGACTTCTGGAGCAGTAAGTGCCTGAAGTCTTGTCCGTGTGCTGAGTGGGACAGAGTGCTGGAAACAGCCTGTGGAAGGGCAGGGAGGAAGGAAGCGGAGAGAGCCAGGAACTCAGCAGGGACAAAGAGCCCCAGATGGGACCCTGGGAGCCGAGGGGATGGGGGTGGGGTGGGGTTCAGGGACTCTCCTATGGAGGGGAGTCTGAGGAGGGGCTGGGTTTCCTGGGGCCACTCACAGGGCTGGGTCAGGAGAGACTGAGGCAGGGAAGCAGAGGGGTCCCTGTGGGCAGGAGACCCTGGGCACACCCGAGTTATACAAAGTTTATAAATACGTTCTTGTGGCTCTGAGTGCTTATTAATTTTTATCTTCCCTATTCAAAAAGCTTTACTGCCATTGCTTCTAATGTAAGTGATTGAAATGTAATGTGGGAAAACTTGGATCATTACTTCCAGAATTGCGCATTTTAAGAGGGTCAAGTTCATCTTTGTATTGTACCAAAGCTGGCCTCTCCCCTCCCCCATCCCCCAGCTCCAAGCACCTCCGGATGCGCCTCATCATCCTTGGCCTGCCCTGCACCAGGGGTGCCCTTACCCTGGGTCTTGTCCCCAGGCCGCACTCTCCTGCTTACCTGCCTCCCCTGCGCCTGACGCGCTCACCCCTTCGGAAGTGTTTGTTGAATAAATAAACTGCTTATAATGTTCTGCTTATGGAGCAAGTTGTTTTCTGAGTCAGTGTTGCTGGTGCTTTTCCTCCGCCCAGAACATCTTTTCCCTTCCTCCCCGGGCTTATTCCTCTGGACAGCCTCAGGTATCATCCCTGGTGTTCCGTCCGGACACGCTCTCTCCTTCCCCCTCAGGGTCCCTTTCTTTGCTCCCCAAGTCTGTGTGTGGCTTCATCCCACACTTGTCACTGAACCGAGAACTACCTGCTTGTATCTCTCCAGCTCGGGGACCCTGAGCTCCTCAGAGCACCCCTGTGTCACCAGCGCCTGGGCACGGCCACTGTTTTAGCCCTTAGGCAAGGCAGCCTCTGGCGCCAACAGGCTTTTAAAACTCTTACGAAAACCTTTGAGACATTTTAAGTCTCAATGTTGTTGGCTCTGGAATATTTTTTAAATCGCAAAATCAAAGCTAAACATGTTTCATAAAGTAGCTCCCCAATATTTCAGTGTCAGTGCCTTTAATTATTAAAGTTAGTATTGCAGTTCCATTCTAAAATTGGTAGGTTAGACTGTCTTTGATTACAAAAGTGCTCCCAGCATGCATGACGATTTCAGAGAAATCCCAGTCAACTGTAAATTGATACAACCCACAGCATACAGTATTTTCCAAAGCGAAATTAGGAATCTTTAGAAAGCTATCCAGGAAAACAATGTGTCAGACAGATGTGCCTTGGGCCTTCGGAGTCCCTAAACAGCACCACCTGGAAGAGGGGACCCATCGGGGGACAGTTGGATTGGGGCCCCTGCGGTCAGTTCCCCCTCCACTCCACGGCCTGGCATCTCACCCCTACTGAGCCTTGCTGTGTACTCTGCGCTGGACCCGAAAGGCCCTGAGCTCCTGACTCCCAGTCCCAGATGTTTTGAGTTGGAGGAGATTGGTCCTCTGGACCAATCACATCCGTCTTTGGATGGGAGCAGTGCAGTCTAGAGAGGAGAACAGAGCTGATGTGAATATTACACAAAGCGAGTTAGTACAAAGGCGGGACTAGTAGCCAGTTCCCACAGGTAGTACTCCCAGATAGCCTTCTGAAAAGCTGAATGGCAGACAAGCCTGTGGAACCTCAATTTCTTCCAGAATCACCCAGGAGACTTAAGCAAGGAGACCTGCAGCCACCCCCAGAGTCTAAATCAGTATCTCTGAGGTAGCGTCAAGGAAAGTGAGATGACTGGTAACTGACCATCTACAGATAAGATCTCCAAAGACAACATTTTGGGGTGCGGGAAGAACTGTAATTTCACTTTTTAAAGAAAACCCAAAAAATAAGGGCAAAATTAAGCCTTGCTGAGACTTCAAAAATGCATGGACCCCAGTGCCTCTCCCTGGGCCGTGGTACACTGGGATATTGGTCCAGTACGACTGATCGCCATACATTGATCGGTTGAAACAAGCGATTCCCTGGTGTCGGGGACTTGCAGCTGGGGTTGCAGGTAAGATATGGGACGCTCTGTTACACTGAAGTTTCAGATAAACCAGGAAAAGATGTTCAGGATCAGAATGCCCCACATATTAGTGTGTGAGTGTTCCACGTGACATTCGGGGCATGCTTCTGCTAGTCTTGTCTCCCCTTGCTCCAGGAGGTCGACCTCAACCTGGATCCTCACCAGTTGGAGTGGCAGATCGTGACTGCTGAGTGTCAGACTAGATCCCGACACAAGTGACCGACACCACTGCCGCACACTTGTCCGCAGTGAGACCAGTGGTCAAGCTTAGCATAGGTGTGGCAGGGACGACCAAGCTCCCCCAGGAGGGGCCCTGGGTATCTCTGGGCCACAGTGCATGGTGGCCTCGGTGGGCTGTTGAAGGCCATCCACATGGTCACACGCGATGACAAAACAAAGCCCTGTGGAGACTGTTCTCTGAGTTCTGTGATAAGATGGTGGTGACCTTGAAACTCTGACGTGCCACACCGAGGTCACAGACCACCTGGGACAAAGCACTCGAAAGAGTCATCAAGCTTTCAAAACGAGCTACTGTATTTCCTTTTATAAAAAGTGCCCCATTTTTTCATCTCTTCTGTGATCAGTGGCTGTCATTGGGGTGCTATGTAGAGACTTTCACCAAAAAAAAATAAACAAAAATAAAGACTTAATCTGTTCCTTCAAGTGGGAGTGATGTTTTAACAATGAGTGAGAAAGTCATCAGTTTTCAAAAGAACCTTACCCTCTGAAGAGGGCCTTTTTGAAAACAGATGTTTGGACATCTCTCCAATGTTAGGGGATCTTGTGGCTAAAAATGACGGGTAGCTAATAAAAAAAAAGTCATATCCGCACACTAAACTGAGAAACTGAAATCCCTAACCGTGTTTAAAAACCATCTGAATGGGGAGTGTGTGTTCTAAACATGCCGGGGAATGGCAAGGGGGCCAGCGGCGCAGATCCAGCTCAGCTAAGGCTGGAGTGCTACGGGGCGGGAGGCCGCAGACAAACCACCCAGACCTGGAGCTTCCTCCTGGCCACACTCGCAGGGCTTT